AGCCCACTGCAGGGCTCCATCTCAGGACCCCAAGATCATGACCTGAGCCGAAAGCAAGAGTCAGACGCTTAACCGACTGAGCCACCCAGGCACCCCAAGTAAAAATATTCTTGACAAAAAGTTTACATGGAAATAAGATCTGTGGGCTGAGCATCAGGTTTGTGACACTGGCTCTTTGTTATGGCAGTAAGCACAAGGATGTCACTGTCCTGTTACCTGACCTCACTTTAATTACCCTCTTTCCACCTTAAAAGGGAGTCTGACTTGCTTCGCTAGCGGTGACTTCCCATAATACTGGTAATAATGGCACATAGTAGGTGCTCATTGACATTACTGAGCACTTACTATGTGCCAGGCATCAGGTGAGATACTTTTCATGCATTTTGCCGTTTAATCATACAACAAAATTAGAAGGAAGGGACTATGACATTCCACTCGCTACCCCACTGAGCGCCGATTTCAAGGATGAGAAAACGGGGGTTTAGAGAAGGTAGTAGTTTGTCCGAGCGCAACGTGGGTAAGTGACAGTTAAATGATCAGTAATCTGGGAACTGCCAGGGCACACTTTCTAAGGTGAAGTCCATGCTCAGGAAATAGAGGCTTTGCAGCCTTAGCTAAGTGAGCAGGAGCAGGCCTGTTCAGAGGGGAGCAGAGGCGGTGTCAGTGACTTACCCATCTGGGGCCTCTGTCATTCAGTTGACCACGTGGTGCCCGAGCCCGAGGCCAGCCTGACGGAGGCTTATGAGAAGTGGCGAGAGTGGGCAGATGGGAAGAGCTGTTGTGACTATGCCTTGCACGTGGACATCACCCACTGGAACGACAGTGTCAAGCAGGAGGTGCAGAACCTCATCAAGGACAAAGGTGAGCCCCTGTGTGCCCAACCCCCCCCTTCTCCTGGCTCGGAGCCCAGAACCTCGTGTGTGAGTGCTAGGTGCAGGGTACTGCTGCGTTCCAGGCACTTGGTCTTGGTGTATGCCATCTCACTCCTTATAGGGTCCACATGATAGGGGTGATTATCCTCAGTTCGCAGCTGGAGAGCCTGAGGCTCAGAGTAAGTGGCCCAGGATCACGGAGCTAGTTAGCAGAAAATGTACCCAAAGTCTGGGCTCTTCACCTCAGGCGACACTGCCCATTTGACAGAGGAAGAAACTGAGACCAGGAGAGGTTAGCATCTTATGGAAGGTCATACAGCTACGGAATACGAGATTCGGAATTTTTAACGTTTGTAACTTGCGCTCCAAAGATCAAACCATTACGGTTCTCAAACAGTGGCATCCTCAGAAAAGGCCACGGCATTTGTGGGAACGAAGGTGTGTTCGCACTCAGGCTAGGAGCTTAGGACATGGAAATGTGGGTGTCCTCTCAGTGAGTACATGATTTAGGTTTCCCTGGTCGTCTTAGATTCTTCTGTTCTCTGCTTCCTTCTCCCTTCTGATCGTTAGGTATTTCGCATACACGCACTACCCCCCATACACACACACAGACGCGCAGTGTGCTCGGCATCATAACGTGGCCTGGGGGATTTGGGGAAGCATAAGGTATGGTCTCTGCTGAGTGTCCAAGGCAAGAGGAAGCAGACCAGTGAAGAGCAACAGGGTAAATGCCACAGGATGCAGAATATTGTTGTAATAGTAATAGCATTATACTAATTTCATTACAATCACGGTACTAATACTAACGTAATAACATGCATTGTTATAACACTAACTTAATAATACTATTCTCAGTGAGCTGCCTGGATGCAGATGCCAGAATGCAGTGGAAAAGAGTGAGCTCTGGGTGGCAGGGGAGAGTCTGGGCTCCCAGACGATGAGTTTTCCCTTCCCTGTCCCTCCTCACCTGACGAGCTCTGCCCAGACATTCCTGATCCAGGATATGAGGTTATAACCCCGTCTTTTCTTGTGATTCCTTTCACACTGCGCATCTCAACTGGGATAGAAAATGGAAGGGCTTTAACACCCACTTGCCTTCCAAAGGGTCCGGGTCATTCCGCAGATGACGCAGAGGCTTATGGGAAGGGTAATGTTGGGAAAAGCTGCCCCGAGCTGAACCACTCTGGGTAGGGAAGTTCTCACATTACAACCCGCTTTTGGCCTGGAACACTGTGGGCTGAGATGGCCCTAATGGTTGGAGACCAAAATTATCCTCCTTTCCTCAAAATGACTCTCTGTTCCCCAGCCCTACCTATTTATATAAATTACTACATTAATAGTCTGTTTGGGGGTGAAAAATTAGATAGCTCTTTCCCTATAGCCCTTACAGCTTAGATATTTAAGCACACGGTGCACCTTGACTTCTGCCCCTTAGCCCCGTTAGTTCCCTGAGGATATGGTCTCCATCCTAGATGCAGCCCTCCCCCCGCCCCCGGCTCCAGCACAGGCTCTAGTGGGCAGTAGGCATTCCTTAAGTGGTGAAATAAACCCATCCCAGGAGCTCCATTAATGAAGCTCAAATATGGTGGTAGGTCTGGTGCTGAGACTTTGGTATCTGTTGTCTCATTTAACGTTTCCAACTGCCTTAGGAAGCAGGCTCTTGTCATTTTCCATTTTACAGGTGAGGACACCAAGAGGTGAGGTATTCCAGGCTCGCTGAACTAGTATGAATTGCTGCCCCCGATTCTCGGTGGTGCATACTACCTCAAGCAACGGCAAAGCTTACTGACCCTCTGGGCTGGGGAATGGGGGCGGCGGCGGGGGGCCAAGACAGAGGTGCAGCAGAGCCCATTCTGCTGTGACACCGTGTAGGCATGGCTGCTTTTGCACGTGAGGAGAGAACGGAGAATGGGAAGCATCTGCTTTATATTGGACAAGCGCCTGTAATGCACTTGGACCCCATGGGCGACGGGAGCAAAGGAAGGAGAGCGGTCGTGCTAATGTTGTCGTCTTCCTGTTTTCCCTCCCTTCCCTCTCTTGCAGGGGTTAACTCCTTCATGGTTTACATGGCCTATAAGGATTTGTATCAAGTGTCCAACACAGAGGTAAGAAGCCATTGCTGGGTGGTTTGGGGTATCTGGATGGGTTTCCCATTGTTGCCGATGACCTTGGCTCTTAGAGCATGAGTCACTGTGGTCGCTGTGGGAGGCTGCTAGACCAGAGTGCTTCTTAAAGCCCTCGCAGTCCACGCCACACTTTAAATAAGGTAACAGGCAGGGTGCCCATGGCAAGGCAGACCAGGAGCTAGAATTTCCACTGGCAGCAGCTTTCTCAAAGGGCCAAGAGGAAAGGCATGCTGAAATCTCCGTGTCTCACACAAACCCTAAACCCCGCATGAGCTCAGTGGAAGTACGAGGGGCTCTGCCTCGCAGGATTAAGGAGGGCCTCCTGCTCTTTGGGGTAGTAGCTTGCCTGTGACTCTCCCCGAGACAGTCCTATGGCTTGTGTCGGTTTGAGATGAACCTCCTGTTGTCAGAGGAAGTGCAGGGAGTGAATTCCCATCCCTCCTGGTTGGGAGGTGGGGGGAAGTCTACCTTGAAGGGTTAGGGGATAGGGGAGCCAGCTGTCCTTTGAGCTTCTGGCCAGGTGGTAGCAGCTCTCAGGAGCACTGGTTGAGAAGGACTGTGAAGGTCTGTCCCAGCAAAACAGGATCTAATACCATTAAAAACGTGTGCATGAGGCAGAATTAGAAGGCTCGATAGCACTTTGTTGTTCATTTGCCCTGTCCGCGGAGGAGACATGACGCGTTCTTTATAGAGACAGTCTGCTAGAGTTCCTGTGGACTCGCACTCTTTGGTCGTGCGTGTTTTCGTCTGTGTTTTTGCCCTAATCACTGATTCCCTCTGGTTTTCCTCATTTGTTTTATCTGTGGCCCTAGTGATGGACCCCTGTGTGAAGTTGCCTCCGTGGCTTGTGAAGGTGACAGCGACTCCTTTCTCTTTCAGCTCTACGAGATCTTCACCTGTCTGGGTGAGCTGGGAGCCATTGCGCAGGTTCACGCCGAGAATGGGGATATCATTGCCCAGGTAATGCCATGCAGCTCCCCAGGGTGGGCTCTCTGCACGGCCTGGGGTCTCCGGCCCGTCTCTTCCCTTGTTCCTTCAATATTGCGTGAGCTCTTCATGGGTGCAAGGCTCGGTCCCTGGGCTAAAAACAGAGACTGCCCTAAAGAATGTCCCAGGCTAGAAGGAGGCAGTGAAGGCAAGAGAGGGAGAAAGCCGAGGATGCTGTATAAAGGGGGGCTGTCTGGCCATCGTGGGGGATCAGAAGAGGCATCCCAGAAGAGGTTTTCAAATTAGGCCATTTAGTGGGAGAGCATTGCTGATTCTCTTGGAAGAGTAAGTCCAAGCTATGTGACAGTCTCTGCCCTAGAGAAGAACCCTAAGGCGGCGCTTCTCAGAAACCTGATCCAGGACTGCAGAGCTCACGGCTTTAGGTAATAAAGAATGTGGGTCTTGTGGGGATCAGACACCCCATTGGTTTCCTAGAAGTTGCACTGAGAAACCTGAGGCAAGAGTGAGGAAAGCGAGGCCCCAAGGCCCAAAATGATCATTTATGAGGAAGCGGAAGGCACTCTCTCCATCTCCTGGGTCGCTTAATGGGCTGGATGCACAGATGTGTCTTAGCCAGGGTCTTGTTTACCTCAGAAGCATTCAAGATTGGCCTCCACTAGGAGGAGGCTGCTAGAAGAGTGGGAGCTCTCTTGGTCCATTTAATAATATTCACAGCAAAAACCATTATTCATTCTTTCAAAGAGTATTTCCTAAGCGCTTTGTGCCAGGCATGAGGTTACCGAGGTGAGCCAAAACAGACGCACCCCGTAGCTCACTAGTCCTTGGGCTGTGCCTTCGTTTTAGAAGTTGTCCAGGACCTGGTGAATGTGGTCCGCAGGGGGGCCGACCCTTGTCCCAGACCCGTGAGCTTCTGACGGCAGGTACCATGTGGTGAACGCTTGCTGCTGTCTGCCAGGCTCTGGTTCGGACTCGAGTGGATGCTCACTCTTCACCTGGCCCTTCACAGATGGCTACCGTCCGCCCTGTTTTGTAGAGAATATGGGGCTCGGAACGATGAGGTCACCGGCCCAAGGATCACAGCCAGTAACTGGGAGGAGACAATCTTAGCTCTGAGGTGGTGTGGCTTCGCCAGGGTTGGCGTGTCCTGGACCTGTTTCCCCACAGCCCCGCGGCAGGCCCCCCAGAGAGACGGCACGTCCCGGCAGTGCAGGGCTCCTGCCGTTAGGATTTCAGACTCTGGGTGCTATCTCATCGGCGGAGGGGGTGAGCTACATGTGTAGTTTCCTCTTACTGACCAAGGAGATTAAATAGTCAGGCCCCTGACAGCCTTCTCCCACGTCCGTCCCCCACACACTGAGCGATAATGAAATCATTTTCCAAAGAGGGTCCAGTGCTCATGAGAGGCATCCCCGTGGTGTTAGAGCTGTCACTGGTCCTCTTGCTCTGCATTTTCAGCACAGCAACCAGAGGGCCCAGCCCTCCCTCCAGATGCCCTAGAAACCAAACTCCCTGCTACTTCCTCCAAGACCATGTGGAGGCAAACGGGCTGCCGGGCTAAGCCCCCTTTCCAGCTTCCTCTGGTGGCTCCTTAGCACCGACTGTCTCTGGTCCACCCCGCCCCCCCGCCACCGCCCCGTCCGCTCTCTTCCCTATCTTGTGAAGGCTCTGTTCTTAGGGAAAGAATAAGGGCATTCTTCCATTTGGATGAGTTTCTTGGGTGTGCTTATTTGATTCAGATTGAGCTGAGAGATTTTATCCCATTGTCTAAATGAAGGCAGCTGCTGTACCCAGAGTTGATGCAGAAGTCACCAAAAAGAGCAAGAAGAATGCTCTCTCATGGGTACCAGCCATGGACGTTTTCAAAAATTTCCAGCCAGCAGGACCATCTGAGAGGGTGGCATCTTTAGCCGTTCATCCAGTAGTATTTCTTGAGCACCTACTATGTGCCAAGCCTTGGAGAGGGAAGATGAGAAAGACAGGGTTCCTTTCCTCATGGAGCAAACCAAAATTGTGTCATGCCCCAAACTAAGATGTAATTACAGCAATGGTGCCCACGGCCACCTCATCCTTCTTAACCTTCCAGCTCTAGGGACACCATGGGAGCTTTTAGAATGGGACTTCCCAGCATGAACAGTGTATTAAAATCACCTGCAGAAATTAGGGATTCCTGGGATTCTCCTGGTTCCAGAAATTCTGAGGTGGGAGGTCGGTAGTAAACTTCAGGCACACGATGTGAACGTGCTGGGAAGCCAGGGCTTGAGCTCCCTCCCTCCTGTGCACGGTGCTAGCCCTCTTGAACAAGGCAGACGTGAGAGTGTCAGATGAGACAGAAGAGGCTTTGTAGTTGGACACCTCGACCTTTGTGCGACTTCAGGAGGCAACACAGAGCGGAAGCTCTCCAGAGTTCAGAAGAAATCGTGTTCAGTCCGAGTTTCGAGAAATGGAACAGTAAGAATGAAAAGTGAAGGTCCTTTGCTGCAAAACTCAGCCTCTGACCTTTTTTCTAATCCTGTTGTAGTTGGAGACGGCGATCATTTCCCTTCTCACAATTGCTTAGAGCGTATGCATCTGTCTTCCTATACCTCTAAAATGATTAATATTACTAAAAACAAAACAAAAAAACAAGAAAACAAAAAGTAGTTCTTCTTTCGCAGGGAGAAGGACTCCTTTCCTTTCTCCACATCTCATAGTTCCAGAGTGCCACAAGGATTTGTTCAGGTCCCTCTCCCCGGCCCCCCTCTGCAGCGGCCAGGTTCATTGGCACTGGCCTTCGTACTTGGAGAGTGAAGGCCAGCAAAACTGCAGATACTGCCGCTTAGGGTCCCTGCCAGTCCCAGTTAGCCCACGTGTGTGCTCCCTGCCCAGCGCCCTGCTCCTTCCAGAAAGCTGGCCACAAGTCTGAAGAATTTCGCCATCAGCTGTGAGGGGTAGGCAGTTCTGTCACGAAACAGCCTAATTAAATAGAATCTGACCACAAGATTACCTGAGTCAGGTAATGCTCTTTGGAGGCATTATTTTGTCTGGTTAAATTCTGAGTCCATTTGTTTCAGCCGTACATTTAAACCACAAAAAAGCCCGAGGGCTTTGTGAAAGCGCAGATTCCTAGAACTTCACCTCTCTATCCTGATTTGGAGGAGGCCACACAGCCGCACGGCCACAAAAGCAAGCCAGGTGATCCTGATGTAGGTGGGAGGCGACTAGACCTTGCGAAACACAGCAAGAAAATATAAGGAATAAGCGAGCTAGTGTGACTTTTGATGTGTAACGGCGAAAAAATTCTGATACTCTTAACACACTTCCCTTCATTTAATTAAAAAAACGTTTTTTTCTCCTCTTAGTTAAGACTTGACCCTATTTTACAATTCCAGGCGGATCATTAATAAATGTGTTCAACATACACGTTTTGTTCTTTTTGTTCCCTTGAACTCTTTGCTTCAGATTAAAAGATACCAGTATGGTTTTTCCACGCCTCAGCGGAGCTTATCTCAAAATTGTTCTGTGTTCTTTTCTCATTGTAGGAGCAAACCCGGATGTTGGAAATGGGGATCACTGGCCCCGAAGGCCATGTGCTGAGCAGACCAGAGGAGGTGAGTTGCGGGGGGCCGGGGCAGCATAGCAGTGGAGGGGCTCTGTCTTTCCAGCATCTTCTGGGAGACTCCTGTGACTACAGTCCCCAGCGGCCTGGCGTGGGGTCCGCTGCTCATTTGACACTTGGAGTGTTTGTGTTGGGCCTGCCTTCCCCGGGCACATGCTTACACGGTGTAGGAGCAAACCTTGAGGAAAGGCGGGGAGAGTCTGTGAGCACCAGACAGCGATATTGGAACATTTCTTCCAAAGGCCACACGTCTGACGGACCAACTCAAGGGACTCAAGAGAAAAGTAGAAAGCAATGTAAGGGAAATGCTTACTTGTGACCCCTCATCTCTCTAAAGAGAACTCAAGGTGGAGGGTCCTGCACACCTATTCAGTTGGAGAGGTAAATACCTAAGCCCTTTCCTAATCAGTGTCCGTCTCAAAGACATTTCCGCTTCCCTTATTCCATATTATATTCTGAGTCCTGCAAAATAAAATGCCAGCCATATGGGCAGTCGGTGGAGTGGGTGTTTCATAGACTTCATGTCTATCCATTTGTTGTAAGGTGATGATTAAGTCCGGGTATGGGAGTTTCCCACGTGTAAAATGAATGATGACTAGGGCCTGCTTAGCCCCGGGCGAGTGAATAAAAGCTAACTAGTGGCTGATTGCATGTGTTTGGGATGTCAGCAGCTTCGGCTGCTGGCGCAGGGCATAGAGCAGGGACTTAGCTGCCCCCACGGCTGAGTGCACGCTGGCTTCGGGAAGCCAGCCCGGGAGTGGCACCTGGAGTGCATTTAGGGCCCTCTGGGCGAGTGGCGTGAGCCCGGCTCCTGCTCTGTCATCCCCAGCCCCCCACTCTGCAGAGGGTAGAAGGAAGGGTCAGAACCAGAAAGGAGAGTATGCCTGTTGCCCATCTCTTTTAGAGGCTTTTAAAAATTAAAAGGTAACGCACCTACAGACGAACGCCCCTATCATAAACATTCGAGGAATTTTTACGAGCTAAATACAGTCGTGTCACCCGTGCCCTGCTGGAGAAACAGAACTGTCGGCACTCCAGAAACTCCTCTGCGTCTCAGGACATTGTTGTTCCCAGTTGAAATCATTTATCATTATTTCACAGCATTCCAGAAAGGTCTGTCTCCCGAATACCAGGCCCTTTCTGTGGAACACGAGCCCGCACCTGGCGCTGTGCTCATTACCTTAGCTCTCCTTGCTGCTTCTCGGGGTGGTTGGCATTACTGTTGGGTGAAGAAGCGAAAGCTCAAGAGGTTAAGCCCGTGGCTATGCCCATGTGAAGGACTGGAAAGCTGTTTACGCGGTGTGAGTGGGCCGGGGTGATCAGCCCTGTTTGGGAAACTGTTCCTAAATGCTGGTCGCTGTAGAGATTTGCTGGCAAGATGGATTTCTGTACCAGCAGCCAGGGGATTTCTGAGCAAAGTCTATTTTTGTTCCTTGGTTTGTTTTTCCAACCCTTCCCCACCCCACTCCTCCTGTTCCCGTCTCCTTTTTAGTAAAAAGCTTCTCGGCTGTAGAGCTGGACAACCCTGGAAGCCCTTTTGGGTGAAGCTGGAGGGTGATGTCACCTTCCAAAGATAGTCATGTTGTCAAGGTGCTGAAGAACCCGCGGTGCTGGGAGGGAGCGGGATCTGAGAGGCCAAGACTGAGGCCGGGGCGGGCGCAGGGCGCAGCGCAGGTGTGAAGAAGGAGGGGCGGGCGGAGGAGGAGCCGGCCCCTCTTCGGTTCAGAGCGCACGCCGCTACCATCTCGAGTGATGCGGTGCAGAGAGAGCTGAACCTGAGCTTTGCTCCCGAAGTCCGGGTGCTTGGGGAAGCTGGCCGTATTCACCTGTGGTCAGGGGCCCCACGGGCTTGTCCCTTTGGAGTCAGGTGCAGCTTGGGGGCCGCCAGCAGGCAGGACCCGCCAAGTTCTAGAGTCTGTCTGCTGAGCCACACCCACCAAGGGCAGTGGCTGGTTTGCATTATGCAAACACCAGGCATCTGCAAGCTATTTTTGGTATTTTTTAAAGTTTTGGGCTGCATAGGCTGACCAGAATATTCTGTCCATCCAAAACAGAACTGTTGCCGATTGAATGGGAGAATGCCAGCATCCCTGCTTTGGGCTGAACCGGGCTTCCGTGGGCTTTGGGCAGTGACGCAGGCTCTCCCACCCTGGTCAGGAGTGATGATCAACAATAAGCCCAATAAGCCAGCCTGCGAGGCACACTTGCCTTGTCCCAGGGTGGGGCAGTTGCCTTAAAGGATGAACTCTTAGATCCTCCCAACAGCCCTGTGGGTGAGGTCCTGTTACTGCCCCCATTTCACAGACAGGAAACTGAGGCTTCGGGAGATTATGTACCGTACCTGAGGTCGCCCAGCTTTTCCGTGACAGAACCAGAACTCAGACCCAGGCCATTGGAAAGAGCCTGAGCTCTAAAGACCCTGCTTTGTTCATAGTGTAGGGGGAAACTCATTATTTCTCACTGAATAAATTCAACCAAGTTGGAAAAATTAGCATATTGGAACACGTAGACTCTACTTTAGGGTGGGGTGGAAGAAATCGAGAAGAAGAGAAATCTCTGCTGAGAAGCCTGGGAATTATCAGTGTAAGAAATGCCTGCTGGAGTGTAAGGAATTGCTGCAGGGAAGGATTTGATGCCTGACTACCTTTACTGGTTCTTGTCTCACATATCGGTGCTGGGGTGCTGTTTTGCCAGAGAATCTGTGTGGGAAGACTTGGAGCAAAAGCTTCCATCACATGCAGCCGTTGGGGTAATCACGGGGAGAGGAGGGAAGCAGCCTAGGAAGGTGAGGGCGAGAGTCGGAGAAGCCAAGTGAAGTGCCACAGTGGGGACGTGGTGGGTCGGGAGCCTCTAGCTGCAGATCCTCTAGGCTTCTCAGCTCCGCGCTGCGCTGCATTCCCAGCTCGCAGAGGCTGGGGAGTGGCTCTCTGAGAGGCTCATGCTTCTCTTGACCCCCGGGACTTCTTTTTGCAGCTGGAAGCCGAGGCTGTGTTCCGTGCCATCACCATTGCGAGCCAAACCAACTGTCCACTTTACGTCACGAAGGTCATGAGCAAGAGTGCGGCGGACCTGATCTCGCAAGCCAGGAAAAAAGGTGATTGGTGCTCCCAAGAGCTTAGCACCAGCCGTGTGGCTCCTTCCCCCTCCGGCTGTCCTGTAGAAACCGTGCCTCTTTTGCTCCTTGCCTTGCTATCTGGGAAGCCCTTCCTCCCTGTTAGCGCAGGGGGTCCTCTCGGCATCCTGTGTGGATGGCAGGACCCTGGCATCTCTCCCGCTTGGCAGGTGAGTTAACTAGGCTCAGGGAAGGGCGGGTGGTTTGTCCCAAGATGGCACAGCTTCGGTCAGTTCTTTGAGGCATCTTTCTTCCTCCCTTTGATCCTTCGTCGTCAGTTCACATTATCTGAGCTTTGTAAATGGACGTACTAGTCGAGATTATATTGGGTGCAGAAGTCAAAGATCCAACTCAAATGGACTTAAACACACAAAAGTAAATTATTGGTTGAAGGTGTTTCAGGCATAGCCGGATCAAGGGGTTTCAACAATGATGTTGGGGCTCTATCACTCGTCATCCTTTCTTGTCTCTGCTTTTCTCTCTTTCGGCTTTATTTTCAGGGTGGGCAGTGACAAGAGTAAATGCTAAGAGGCACCTGTTGTCCTCAGCTCTTGATAGGGGACATGATGAGGAAGTAGGGTACGTCTCTTCCAAAAGCTCCAGCAGAGGCGCCCGGGAGGGCTCTGATTGCCTCGGCTTGGGTCATGGGCCCCTCCCCGAGCCAGTGTCTGCTCTGGGGATGCTGTAATTGATTGGCTGGAGGGTGGGGAGGGCAGCGTGCGGGGGCCGGGGCCCACCACCTGAGCCACACGGGTTATTTAGGAAAAGGGGATGAATGGGTCTCTAACACATGACTAGTGGCATGGCCTTCACGCCTCGGGGCTTTGTCCCCACCACCTTCTGACTTGTGCTGTTTTCCTCCATGGCTGTTCACTTGGGTTTCATTTGCTCCTCTGGTGCCAAACAGAAGTTTACTCTCATTTCAGAGCTTTCTCTTCCGCTTTCTGTTCTTGCCTTCAGCGGCACACTAACGGGCTCGCTTGTGATCAGCGTGTGCTTGAGAACGTGGGAGGTGCGGGGCAGGGCCCTGTGGTTAGTTGGGAGAGAGGATCTCCTAGGCCCGTGTGTGTACTCGTTACCACTCGTGACTGTGCCGGTGGCCATTCTGGTCGTGGGGAGCCCCGATAAGGGACTCAGCCACCCAACTCTGAGCTGGTCTGCAAAGCTCCGCATGGGGGGGTGGCTGCGGTGGCTAAAAATAGTTCCCCTGACTCTGATGGCTGAATGTTGAGCTGCCTGCCTTTCTGGCAAAGGGGACCCTTTTCTTCTGGGAGGGGATTCTTCCTAATTGTCTAGACAGTCTTTGTAGCTAGCACATTCTGGGGCATCTCCTGCTTTACCTCGCTCACGGTAAGTCTGCTGTTTTCTTTCTCTGCCTTTAAATGTCTCAACATGACGTGGTGTGGTTGCTGTACTGGGTATGAGTCCTTGGGTGAGAGCCAGGAAAGTAGCCCAGTCTTCCTTACCCACTCTTGGAGAAAGAAAAAAAACAAAACAGGAAAGCAAGCAGGCAAGCAGAATGCATGGGGAGCCCTCCCACCTGTTCCCCAAGACCACTTGCTTTTGTGCCTTCTGCTCGTGGCTGCATCCTCCCTCAGAGCCATTCTCAGGATGACCTGAGGGTCTCAAGGACAGAGTGCTTCCGCTCTGCACTGGGTCTTATTTTAAACTCCTGGAGAAAGATGCCTCACCCTTCGCCTGCTGGCTCATGATTGTCTGGCCAAAAGAGCTAGGACAGCTGTGTTTCCAGGGTGGCAGGGAGGCAGTGGCAGGGAGGCAGGGGAGGCCTTGTTTCAGGGCTGAAACACTGACTCCTGACATGGAAGCCAGGAGACATCTAGGGACCTGTCAGTCTCAGGGAAGGAGCGAAGAGTACTCAGAGCAGGGAGAGATTGTAGCAGGGCTCTCTCTTCCCTACTGACCTGAAGTCTAGTGTGTTCACTCACCGAGTGTTCTTCAGCACCTCTGCACGCCTGCTCAGACTTAATATCAGGGAGCAACAGTTTAATGAGGACCAACTGTATGCCCTGCACTGAGTTAAATACTTCAAATTTATTGTTATGTAGAATTGTCAAAAGAACCCTGAGAAATAGGCATTATCCCCATTTTTCAGATGAGGAAACGGAAGCACAATGTGTCAGGATCTCCCAGCCGGGAGAGCAGGTATTCAAACCCAACTATAATTACAATTTTTCCTTATTCTACTCTTCCATCTAAAGATAGTCCAAAAGGAGAGTTCTTCCACTTTTTTTTTTTTTTTTAAAGATTTTATTTATTTATTTGTGAGAGAGAGAGAGAGAGCACGAGTGGGGAGGAGAGGGAGAAGCAGACTCCCCACTGAGCAGGGAGCCTGAAGTGGGGCTCAGTCCCAGGGATCATGACCTGAGCTGAAGGCAGAAGCTTAACCGACTGAGCCAGCCAGGCGCCCCGGAGTTCTTCCACTTTTAAGATTGTATTTCTCTTAAGAGTACCTGGGGCTTGCCTTTACCTCCATTTCTTTCTTTGTGGTCCCGTATGATTTGGTTTGGGTACATTGCTTTAGAGAGCCCTCGAAATTCTCTTGAGGCTTGTGGGGATCCGTTTTCTTGCCCTCCCAAAGAGCAGGGCTGTCACGTATGAATCATTGCCACTGATTCCTTTTTTTGCCCATGGCAGACATCACAAATCAGTCTTGACTCTTGCAGTGAAACCAAAGCGTAGTTAGAATTCTTTTGGCAAAGAATTCCAGGCAACCAAACCAATAGATTAGAGTTGAAGGAAAGCAAGACCTATTTATAATTTTGGCCACAGAGCCTTCCTACAATTTGACAATGGGGGGAACTTGAATGTGGAAGATGGAGGCCTGAAGCTAGAGAAGTTCAGGGCTTTATGGGGCATCTTTGGCCCAAGATTCTGGTGTAGAGAAACTTGGTACCAACCAACCTTCTGTGAGACAGCATTTGCCCTCTCTTTCTCTGTCCCTTCTTCTTTAAGGAGCTCAGCTTAGATCAGTTTATTTCCCAGTAACCCTCCTCCTCGCCGCTTGGTTTGGGCATATATGCCCTGAGTTGCAGACACAGGGTCCAAGAAGTGAGCCTCATCTTTGATGTGTCCCAGGTCATTGGGTGCCCTCGAGCAGATCAGTCCTTGTTTTAGGTTACGGAATAACAAGCACGGTGGAAAGATCCTGAGGACCTCTTCTCCAAGGGAGTGGACTTGCTTTGTGGAACCAAAGCATGTCCTTGCAACAAGCAGGATCTAGCGGTTCCCGGGGAGGCAGGCACACTGGGGACTTTGGGCCTCTGCCCACAGTGGGAAGGCGTAGCAGTAGTATGAGGAATTCACAGTCCCCAAGCACCTCCTGTGTGCCAGACACTTTTACACGCCAGATCCTTTCATTTTCACGATCCTGAGGAGTGAGGATGGTCTTATTTCATCTATTCCAGGACAGGCCTAGTCCCCATTTTAATATTTCTGAAATGTCAATGAATCTTAGAATCAGTATACACTTTTTGTTTGGCCTCAAATATTCATTTGCCTCAAACTGGGGCTTAAAGCTGCATCTTGTAACCAGTGGCTTCTTGTGAACTCGGGGGCACAACGTTGTTCGTGCTTAGCAGACAGAAAAGCAGAGGCTTGGGAAAGGCGGGCACATGGACTTGACCCCAGGCCTGCCTGACTTCAGAGCCACAAGCCTTGAGGAGGGCTAGGGGCTGTGATTCCCTGAGCCAGGCCCGGAGCAGCACAGACGTTCTGCAAACCCCTCACCTGTTTCCTATCCTTGCAGGAAACGTGGTCTTTGGTGAACCCGTCACCGCCAGCCTCGGCACAGATGGGACCCATTACTGGAGCAAGAACTGGGCTAAGGCAGCTGCCTTTGTGATGTCCCCGCCTCTGAGCCCTGACCCGACCACTCCTGACTACATCAACTCCTTGCTGGCCAGGTTGGTGCCGGGATGACGAGCAGGCTGCGTCCTGTGAAAACCCCGTGGGACCCGGGGATGAGAACTGGAGCAGCCCATCCGTCAGCTAGACTAGAGTCTGCCGTGAGGAGAACACATAGAGAACAACAGGCTCTTCCCCATCGTAGCTTACACGTTACTAACAGTAACCATGTTCATAACGACAGTAGCAGTTAACACAGATTATGTGCCTCAGGAGCTCACTGATCCTCAGGACAACTCTATGAGTGAGGGACTGTCCTCTCCCTTGTACAGGTTAAGCAACTGAGGGTCAGATCATGTGCCTCATTTTGAACAGCACCTACCTGAAATGAAAGGGAGACTCATTGGCGGCTTGCCCCCGCTCAGGACATTTAGGGTCAGTCCCATCACTCATTTGGGTCCCTTTTATTTTATTACCCAGAGATGATCTAACCCCACCCCCTCGTTTTCCAGATGGGCTCACTGTAAGCCCTAGGGAGGGAAAGAACTCACGCTCACACAGCCGGTAAGAAGTACAGAAAGGATCCTAAACTCAAGTCTTGTCTTTCCGAATGCTCACATTAGACACTCGAGGCCTGTCCCCCAGCGGTGCCTTTAAGCCACCTCTCCAGTTTACATGGAGCTTTTTTCCTTTGCCAGTGGAGACCTGCAGCTCTCTGGGAGTGCCCACTGCACCTTCAGCACCGCCCAGAAGGCGATTGGGAAGGACAACTTCACAGCCATCCCTGAGGGCACCAATGGTGTGGAAGAGCGGATGTCTGTCATCTGGGACAAGGCAGTGGTAAGGATCAAGGTCATGGGCGGGGGCCGGGTCCAGACCAGAGCCTCCTGCCACTGCTTCTTTGTAGGTGAGCCCTCCTACCTGATGAGATGTTTCTGGAACCACGTGTCTCAAGTGACTTAAGAATGTCATTTCTAGAGGGATGAACCTTGAGATTGTAAGACCTCCTCCTCTAGACTCTTAAGAACTAGGAGCCACACATACAGACCCTTCATCTGATGGCATGAATGATCTGTACTTAATAGTGAATTAAAATTCTTTTTCTGGAGAGTGTTATCCCTTCTTTTGAAAGGGCTGGATAGAACCCCTTGAAATGGTAAGCCGGGGGTGTATGCCTAAGAACCTGAAGTCAACTTTCTCATCAAGGATACCCTTCCCTGAGTGTGTGATCATCCAGGTTGTACAAGAGATTGTCAACCGATGTCTTGTGACAGTAGGCCTGGTTTTATTTTCTTTAATAACATGATAGAGGCTGACAAAAATAGCCGTGCAAATGAAGCCTGTCCCAAAGGTTTTAGCAAAAATAATAATTAACTCATTATTAAGTTGATCACTTCCTTCTATTTTTTATTATTTTTTTAAAGATTTTATTTATTTATTTTTTTTTTGAAGATTTTATTTCTCGGACAGAGAGAGACACAGTGAGGTGAGAGAGAGAGAGAGAGCACAGGCAGGGGTAGTGGGAGAGGGAGAAGCAGGCTTCCCGCCGAGCAGGGAGCCCGATGCGGGGCCCAATCCCAGGACCCAGGGATCACGACCCCAGCCGAAGGCAGGCGCTTAACGACTGGGCCACCCAGAAGCCCCTAAATATTTTATTTTTAAGTAATCTCTGCACTCAACATGGGGCTCGAACTCACAAAACCCCGAGAGCAGGAGTTACACGCTCCACTGACTGAGCCAGCCAGGCGCCCCCCCTTCTCTTTTATTTTGAAAACTCTAAACATACTTATTTCTGAGCCACATACATTGCATATGAACTAATGCCTCATTCATCTACACAGTGTAAGCTACCAAATTATTTCCCTTCTCATCTTGGCTCCTAGGAAGCTCAAAGTTAGATTTGAAACCAAATTCTTTTTCCCTTATCTAGGCTTTTTGTTTTGTAAAGAGGGAAAGTGTAAATATTTTTGTCTCCTCTCTCTCATACTTAGGTTTTGTTTTTTTTCTTAAACGCTGTTTTATATATATATATATATACATATATATAGTTGGTACAATCTGAAATTGTTAAAAATAATATGTGTGTTTTCTAAGTACCTACATGATACATTCTCATTAAAAGAGCACTTGGGAAGGACAGAGAAGCACAGACACGAAAGAAAACAAAAATCAATCATAATTCGACAACCCAGGGTTAACCATTATTATCATTTGTGGGGGGCTCTTCCATATTCATCCTGTGACCGTGCAAATACAAACAAGTATCTAAAAAGTGGGCCCGTGACCACATTAGTTTTTACTGGGAACTCTATAATTCTTTTTGGAATCTGAGGGGCAAAGCAGTAAGTGTATGCACATAGCCAGAGAAAACGCACACTCCAGGAGTCGTAACTGCCTTCCAAAGGCGATGGCGAAGCCGGCTGGGCAGCTTGCAGGTGGGGGCCGTGTGTTTCTGGCCCGTGTCACCGTGCTCCGAACGCAGGAGCCCTGCGCTGAGGTTTTTTGGTATTCCATTAGGCCACCGGGAAAATGGATGAAAACCAGTTCGTGGCTGTGACAAGCACCAATGCCGCCAAGATCTTCAACCTGTATCCCCGCAAGGGGAGAATATCTGTGGGTTCTGACAGCGACCTGGTGATCTGGGATCCGGACGCGGTGAAGATCGTCTCCGCCAAGAACCACCAGTCGGTAAGGCTGGCGCCGGTAGGACGAGAGCAGCGTGGAGGAGGCTCTTGAGGAACTCGGTCGGGAGAGATGTGTGCATGTGCCTCGTCCCAGGCCAGCTAGACCGGGATGGGTCGTGGTCACAGACCTTACCAAATTCTCAGTGACGTCATACCTCAGCAGCTTACGGGTGGGTCAGCAGGGGGCTGCTCCCAGCACAGTCATTCAGCACGGAGGCACCATGTCTACACCCGCCCCTGAGATCGCTGAGGCGGGGGCAGGTCATGGTCCCCTGGGGTCTGGCTCGGAAAGCTTTCCTAAGGGAAGCGGTATACAGCACTTGCTCTCACACCGTGCTGGCCCAAGCGAGCCCTGTGCTTGACCTTACCCCAGGAGGGCAGGGAGGGCAGGGATGCACCCTGCACCGAGAAGGAGAGGGAACATGAAAAAAATTGGTCAGCAGCCCGGACAAATTCCTCATGAGGAGTTTCATGCAGAGGATAATAATTAAAGCCCAGTGCCTAAGGGAAAAGGCTTCATCCCTGTTAGTAAAAATAGTTCCTATTTTTAAAGCATTTACGTTTCAGGCAGTGTGCTTTTCATTCGCTGAATCTCCGTAACAGTCCCTGACAGGTAGGCACTGTTATTATCTGTATTTTATTGAGGAGGAAATGGAGGTGCAGAGAGATTCAGTAATTCATACAGGAAGTAAGTGAAGTTAGGATTCAGACCCACACAGCTCTTTTGGAGTATAGACTCCAAACAGATGTCCTTGACTCTTTGCAATAATGCCTTGTGCTTGGTGAATAAATGAAGGCAGTAGAGAGAAATCCCCTTTTTTGGTGGGGATGGCCTTCATTTAAACATTGCATCACATCACATCATTTAATTTTGGGCTAGCGGAGACCTAAGGGTCACGGACCCCACCTACTCACCCAGCCCGTACAGGAGTGTCAAAAACAGCATCCCTGACAGTTTCTGAGCGTCTCTTGGAACACCACCAGTGACAAGATATACGTCTACACTGGGGCCTTTTTAAAGATTGATGCTTCTCTTTGCTGGGAGGTCCAGTCTCTGCTTAGCAGCCGTCTCTCTCCCGGGGCTTCTACACACCCGAAGCTTACAGGTGGTGTTGGAAGCTTTTCCTGGCTTCCCTGGTGCATCCATTATACTGAGGCTGAAGGCAGGAACCCAAGCCCAGGAAAACCGTGTTCCTCCCCTCACTGTCCTATGCCCCCACTCATGGCTTTGCCCCTCACCCCTGTCTCTAGGCTGCAGAGTATAACATCTTTGAAGGACTGGAGCTGCGAGGGGCTCCTCTGGTGGTCATCTGCCAGGGCAAGATCATGCTGGAAGATGGCAACCTGCACGTGACCCAGGGGGCTGGCCGCTTCATCCCCTGCAGCCCGTTCTCTGACTATGTCTACAAGCGCATTAAAGCCCGGAGGAAGGTGAGAAGCTGGCTGAGCCTGGGGGTGGCGGAAGGGGCCTGTGTCCCATTCAGGCACAGGGACAGTAACCACGAGATCAGGAGGGGTCCGTGTGCCCTGGAACCTCCCAAAGAAATTCACAGCAATGATCTCTTCCCAAGAGACACTTGGACAGATTTCATGTACTATAAAAAGGGGGTTTCTAAAACTTTCTTGGCCCAAGAAACCTTTTTTTCGTCAAATAACTTTCCTCCATCCTTACAGTACTTTTAATTAAAATAATTTGGAATTTTAATAATTCAAAATAATGTTTATATATTTTTTAAAAAATAACTCTTGAAGGCTTACAGGGAGAATTAGCAGCCCACACCCTCCCTTCCCAGTCTCGTGTCTTCCATCCAGTGTTGCTCCCATAGGGCAAATGTTTATAACCCTTTTAACTAGTTCTGTGGTTCACATAAAATCTTGTTTATGTCCCTGATTTCATAGATAGGCAGGTAGAAAGATAGATACACAGACACTTATCTGTGTGTTTATGTATCTACCTACGTGGTACAAACCGAGTGCTCTACTTGATTTAGGGGTGAGGTCCAGAAGTCTGTCTTTTTAGAGCCCCCTGCTACCCCCACAGCAGTCACATTGTCGCCTTCCGGTAAGACTAGGGATCCACAGAGCAGGGTTAGACCAGCCCTGGGATGAGGTGGAATTTGACCCCTGGTCCTGGCCTTGTCTGTTGGAAGGCACACGGTCATCCGTGCACATGGGATGGGCCAGCGCCCAGCAGCTGGGAGAATGAGCCTTCAGTCCTGGTGACGGCGAGGTGGGGGGGCTGGGGACACACTGTAGCGGCCATTAAAGAGAGGCTCACAGAAACTCTGTACCTGAGCACCCAACCCACTCGCAGACCGCCTGTGATCCCAGTGACTGGCCATCCAGTCCCTGAGTGCGGACGCAGGGAGCCTCCCTGTTTTGGAGTCAGCTGCCGGCTCTGTCTGTGCGAACCGGCGTCTTCCTGCCGGCCGGCCGGCCGCAAGGCTCGCTCCCTGAAGTCCACCAGCCAGCCCTGTTCTCCTGGCGCCCTCACAGAACAAGGTGCGCCGTCTCTTAGGGCGGGTGTGTGTGTTTCCAGAGGCGTTTGTCCTTTAGTCTGGATGTGCTTGTAGCCTGCACTTGTTTATGTTATGACAGCGTTTTATTTATTTACTTTTATTTTATTTATTTTAAAGATTTTTTTTTTTTTTCTTGAGAGAGAGAGCATGAGTGGGGCGGGAGGGGCAGAGGCAGAGGGAGAAGCAGGCTTCCCGCGGAGCAGGGAGCCCTCGATCCCAGGACCCTGGGATCATGACATGACCCGAAGGCGGACGCTTAACGACCGAGCCACCCAGGCATCCCCTTACGACAGCGTTTTAAATCCCTGCATCGGTCCTACCTCTTTATGAGTGATCCTGTAAAGTTAGGTGGTATGGAGTTTCATTCCACACTTTGCTTGTGGCCTCCTAGAGAAGAGAATGGAACTCAAGCCTCCCATATGCATCAGGTCTTTATTTCCGTTAATGTGCCTTAGATTCTACACCTAAAGAAATGTCGATGATCTAGTGTTACGGGCCAAGGTTTTTGGGGAGCACGGCTTGAGCCATGGTCCCACCTGAATCACCAGCATCTGCAAACGTGATGAGCGTCGCCTCAGTGCCTGCACCTGAGCCTCTCCCAGAGGGGAGGGCAGGCTCTGTGGCAGACGTGCTCGGCGTCTTACCGTGAGCCGCCCCCCTCAGGCAGCCAGGGGTCGGACCTGGGTGGAGGTGCTGTGCTGGCTGCACCGCCCATCAGTGTGTGTCTGACAGACCGGGGGCCCCCTCTGGAGCAGGCACTGTGCTTCCCGTGACCCTCACCCCCTGCCCCCGGCACCAGGCCTAGCCCGGAGCATGCCCCGGGGGAGGGGGGCTGGTGCTGGCTGGCTCCTCAGTCCCAGGACAGGTTCACAGCCACAGCGAGAGGCCAAGGGTCAGACTGCAGGATGCGCCCTTCGAGGTTTGCCAGCTCTGGGCTGAGGAGCGTGTGGGTGGAGCCCCCCCAGACCTCACCCCACCAGCCCTTACGACCTTGGCCCAAACCGCTGCCCTTCTTGCTCCCTTTGCTCTGGGCCTACAGGCCGTCCTGCCCCCTGCTTCCTCTTCCGGGCACGCCGCCTTCCCCCCTCCTTCCCCCCCATCCTCTGCCCCTCGTCGCCTCCTTCCCTCCACCCAGTCCCAGGACAGGCTCCTTTGTTCCTTAAGTGGGAAGCTCACCTCTTGAGAGAGGTCTTCCCTGACTTCTTCTGCTGTCGCTCTATCCCCACACCCCCTTTATTGTCTGCGTCTTCTCCTTTCCTTAAAATGACCCTATTATTTTTATTATGTTCTGGCTCCCACCACACCCTGAATTCCCTGACTTATCTCTGCCACGTAGCACAGACCGGAACTGTTGACAGAATCAGGGTTGATGGGCTTTCTCTGCTGCAGATGGCAGACCTGCACGCCGTCCCGAGGGGCCTGTACGACGGGCCGGTGTTTGACCTGACCACCACACCCAAAGGGGGCACCCCCGCGGGCTCCACCCGGGGCTCCCCCACGCGGCCCAACCCGCCCGTGAGGAACCTCCATCAGTCGGGATTCAGCCTGTCTGGTGAGTGGGACGTGGTGGCCCTGGGCGAGAGGGGAGGGACGGGGGAGGAGCACCGAGTGCTCCAAGCTGGCAGGTGACCTGGGAGGTGGTGACTGGGCCCAGCAGGAAGCTTTGCCCAATCAAAAAGGAGTCCCGTTGAGAAGGCAGGAGAAGGCCCGGTGAGATTAAAGATCAGGTTTAAATGATGACGAGTTCTGCTTAGAGATCACACCTGTTGGGGTGGGGCCAGATGTTTCCCATTAGGAATCGGTGATTTTCCACGTGAGACTGTGGGGGCTGTGCGTGGTGTGGTCCCGTTTCTGTGTGCCCAGAATAAGAAGAGCTCAGATTGCAGGGGCTGCTTCGAACCTGGCGTTTTTACTCTGCCCTCCCTCCTGGTAATAATGATGGTGCGAGTACGAGCTGCCGTTGAGTAAATACTTACCCAGGCTGGCCGTACCATTTCACCCTGTCTATGCTTTAAGAACTGATAATAATGGAAAATAATTACCCAGTTGCTCCATAACCAGTAGCTAAAAGGGGGAAAAGTAAATGTCAATTTGCGTCTCTGTGGCGAACAATTTAGGTGTGAGGGGAGCCAGACACCCAGAAGGGACAGGGAGAGGGAAAGAGGAACGGGTCCAGGGAGAGAAGAGGACCCAGGAGTGGCAGAAGCCGGAAAGAGCCGAGGGGACAGGGTCAGGGGAGGAAGGCAGAAGGAAGAGACTGCAGGTTTTGAGGTCACGTTGACACAGGTCCCATTATGATTGTCGCAAGTAATTTTTGTCTCTTTTTTGGCCATTTGAATTGCTCCCCTGGCTGACCTCCTCCCTAACATGTCACAGCTCCTTTGTGAGTGGACGTAAGCGCACTCCTGAGCGCTTCCTTCTGTGCTGAGGCTGCAGGGGCCTGACCAGCACCGGGCCAGGTTGTGAGGCCTGGGTCAGGTTCCCCAAGCTCTCACAGCCTCATTCACTGCCTCTGTTCAATGGGAACCACCACAGTAGCTCCCTCCTAGGATAGTGGTGAGGATCGGGTGAGGTGTCTGAGGGGCACCTGAAACGTTGCTTGTCGCGGTGAATGTAAGCAGCTGTTTCTCAGATCACCGGCCTTGTATTTATTATCGTTTTTATGATGCTGAGGGTCCGACGGTATCTAGAGGAGAACCTGGCTTTTCCTGGTGGAGTTGGGTGTTCCCCAGGAGGGCGGATATGAAACGCCTGGAATGCTTGACAGACTGGAATGGAATTTCTTGGGAGATGAGGCCAGGAAGGTGCTTGCTGTCTGACACTCTGTAAATTAATCCAGTTTCTCTCTTGCATTCTCCCTTTTCTCTTCCTGGGAATGCATTGCCAACTGCAGGCACCCAAGTGGATGAGGGGGTCCGCTCGGCCAGCAAGCGCATCGTGGCACCCCCTGGAGGCCGTTCTAACATCACGTCCCTGAGTTAAGCGACCCCTCCCCAAAGAGAGGGGCAGAAGCAAGAAGAGATTTTTTTGAAGCCAAAATGGTACACCAATATTTAAGAAGGAAAGCGAATCCAAACAGTTGCGATCTAAAGAATCAATAAGCCTCAAGCCTTATGTTTCTCCAATGCTACACTCGCTTGCCTAGCTTTACGAATATTGCTTTGTTTTCTGTTCATGCATAGCCTTGATTGGTTTGACCCTGCCTCCCCACATTTATGTGCATGCAATCAGACAGGCTATTAAGGTAAAAGTCTGCTATATAGTGTTGAGAGCGTGTGTAGTGCTGCATTTTATGACAAGGGGACAGACAAAGCTGGGATGTCAGGAAAATCAACAAAAGGGACACAGTTATTTGGGGTGAGGGGGTGGTGGGAGCCCAGAGTGAGGCAGAAGGCTCAGAGGGGATGGGGTAGGGCGTGGACGGGGAGGCGGGTGGGTGGGTGAGCATAAGGGGGCTTGTGTATTGTGTTGACGAAGCACGTTAATTTCCATGGAAGATGGCTACTTGGGGCAGCCCATCCCTTCATCACGGTCCCCAAGGGTCTATGGGGAAGGCAGGCAGTCTTCAGGTTCCAGACTTTGTCACATCCCCTCCTAGATTTTATTCCTTTGAACATTTTATTAGAACACCAAAACCCAGCCATTACTTTCACCTGCTTGATCGTGCCAGTGTTTGGTGGGGCCTCTTTCTCAGTGTTGCTTTCAAATTCTCCTCTTTCCTGGGCCGGGAAGGAAGAGAGGAGAGAGGAAACCCCTCTCCTCTGTCCTGCCTGCCTCTTTGGTGCTCTTTAACAACAGCTGGGAGCACACACAGGCCCTCGGGGTGGTGGCAGCCATGCTCACACACCTTCCTCAAACCACATGTTGGAGATCACCTCGCATTCGCGTGGCTTTGCGAACCGGGAAGAACAGCGTGTGTTCGGCGTCCCAAGTTAGGACGAGCCTCGATGGGGCCCCCGGAAGGGCTTCTCTTGCTGCCGGTCAGTGGCCGATTCTTTCCGTCTCGAGATCCAGGCACATCCGTGACCGAAGAGGATTTTTAGTGCTTAGGTGTTCTCTAAGTTTTGCTCCGAACAGGTGATCTCAGTTGAGACGGGAGCCAAGCAAGGATTTGGGAAAGCTAGTCTGTGGAGCTGAGGGAGCACATTCTGGGGCCATGGGTCTGCTTTGCAGTCCTGAACCCTCTGTCTCCTCTTCCTTGAGCACATCCTTTGGGGGAGCTTTTTGTTTCCTTATAAAGCCTCCCAAGGTGAGTGGAAGTGACATGCAGCCTTGTGTGATGTGGCCCAGAACGGACGTGGAGCTCAATGTCCATTTCCCCGTCCTGCCACTTCTGAAAATTCAATGTTGGAGCAAGTTCTCTGAGCCAGATGAGGATCTGTAGAGCTAAGAGGTCCAGAGGCAGAAAAAGTGCATTCACCCTGGGATCAGACGTCTGTGCTTGGGGGATGCAGCGGGTAGGACCCTAACCGTGTGTACTAGGTACTTGGAAGAAAAAGACCAGGCCTCAAACACCTTTCAGGTGCTCAGGAGAAGCTGTTCTCTCTGACAGCTGAAGACCAGAGAAAAGGGAACAACAACGCATGGCTAAAAAGGAATTTGGAAATAGCCAAGGAAGAGGATTCCCCCTAGCGATCTAATTACTGTTCTATTCATGAAAACAATCATTTCTCCTCATAATAAGGAATCTTGCTATTTGAAGGCTTTTTCATGGTGCCTTTATTTTAAAGGAAACTTAAAGGGAGCATGTAGCTCTTGATCTCTAACTCAAAAGATCTGAGGGCCTGTCGCAGAACTCAGAATGACAGTTCCGCGGGCAGAGGGAGATTGTCAGATCTGAAGCGTTTCAGCTATATACCTCAGTGGCTGGGCTGTTCTGTAGGATGTGTTGCAGTACCAGCCACAACCACCAGGTGGAGGAAAAGACAAAAAACTAGTGGGCGCATCCTCTTGCGTACCGTCTGCTCCTGATTCCTAGCCAGAGCCCAGCTCCTCCCTCCATGACCTCTCTGTGCCATGACAATAAATCCTTCATGGCCACATTGGTCGTCTGCACTGCACTGGGACTGCTGAATGAAGCATTCAACCAGCACTTCACATCCTACACAAGCTTTCCGTGCTGTAGGAATAACGCTAATGCCTTCATGATGGGCTGCGTGATCTGGGAAAGCCTCCCTTTCTTCACTTACTATAAGTAACTTCCCAAGCACAGAGATTCCTAAGAATTGCAGGAAAACTCCCTCTCTTTCCTTGACTTTGATTTCTCGTACCTTGTTACTTGAGTTACAATTTATATTCAAATGTGTCCTTTTCCATAAGGCACATCAAAGAGCCCTCCCTCTACCCAGGGCTTAGGAAGAGAACATGGTGCAAGTCACAGCTCTCAGAACTCACAGCATCTCATCCACGTGTGGGAGGGCTTGCTGCACTTCGTCTCCTGCCCAAGCTTTCTTTTGCCCTCTCGTCTCTTGGCCTGGCCCCTCTCTAGGGATGCCCTGGCTTCCCCCCAACTGTCTCACGTTATTCCTTATCCAGATGGCCGTCAACTGGGGTTCTCTCTGGGAGGGCCATAATCTTGGGTAGTTGAGAAGGTATTTGTGGATTTGTTGGATCAGCCAACCCCGTAGAGGTGTTTCTTCTATTTCTGTTTTCTAAAAATGGCAGTGTTGTAGTCATCCCGAAAATGGGTTTTCTTCAAAGACCAGTCACCCTTTGGCCTTCTTCCTCATGCCTACACCCAGAGAGTCATGCTCTGCTGCAAAGGCCTTAATCCTAAGCCTGGACTTGCACTCACCCTGAGCGGCCCTTCCCCACAGGGTGGATGAGTCCCCTCCCAAACTTGGTTCTAGCCACAAGCTTCCCAGGCCTTCCCCCCTGGAAAACTCCAGCTTGAGTCCCAGATATACCCATGGGCTGTCCCGGGCAGCCAGCATTCATTGTACAAGTTCCCTCTTTGGAAAAACGGTGTGTGGGTGTTCAGTTCTATGTCTGGTGAATATGAACAGACCGTAAATCTCCCTGTGATCTGTGGTAGCTGTGAGGCAGCTCGGAATGTGAAGAGCTGTTTGGTTTGAACCGTGAAGAAAACTGTGTTTTGAGTTTAGCTGAGATTAAAGAAAAGTTCATCAAGTGACTGTTAATGTACACCTGGTTATTAAAATAACTATGAAATTACGGATGTTGTTGTCCAGCCTTCTTCTGTATGCGACGTGCCATTTCACTTCCAGTATGAAAATTGCAAAATAAAACTGGCGTGCTTAATGAGGGGGGCAGAGTTGATGAAAACGAGGTTTCCTGAGGAAATCTGGGGGATTTCTATCTTCTCGGTTGAGGTTGAGTTTTTGTTTTGGCCACAGAGTTTGATGACCGTTATTGGAACTTAGAATGACTCAAGTTTTTTCTGGGGATCATCTCATGTAAAACACATCACCATTTGAGATAAGGTCTGGCTGAGTCCAGTACAGATCCTGACAGGGTTTCTTTCATCTATTTTTTGTCATCTCCTTAAAGGTTTTCTGCTTCTCCCTAAAACCCTGGACTTTGGGAAAATTCAAACTAAGCATTTTCCAAGGTATATTCTTTTTTTTTTTCAAACGAATATATATATATGTATATATTTTAAGATTTTATTTATTTTTTGAGAGAGAGCCAGAGAAAGAGCCAGAGAGAGAGCATGAGCCAGGGGTGAGGGGAGGCCGAGAGAGAGGGAGAAGCAGACTCCCCACTGAGCAGGGAGCCCAACTCTGGGCTTGATCCCAGGACTCCGGGATCAGGACCTGAGCCAAAGGCTTAACCGACTGAGCCACACAGGCACCCCTCAAGGTATATTCTTTAACATATTGATCCCAAGTTGTGTAGGAATGTTGGAAAGGATTATTTACTAAGCTACTCCTCTGACAGATGTAAGGTCATATCAAATTAAAAGCTATGAGAAATCTGAGCCTTTCAGAATTTGTCCTACTCAAGGTTCTCAAACTTTTTGGCTGCTGAACCCTTCTATATCCTCTTTTAACATCCCAGTGACCTATTATGCTAAACTCTCTTTGGGGAAACACGCCTGGATCCACTTTCATATTGTGTGGGATACTTCTCATTGCAAATGGCAGACTGCCGTATGCACAAAATTTTTTTGAAAAGCGTATTTTAAAGTCTGGTGTAATGAGAACTTCAGGGATAGAACTGGGTTGACTGAAGCATAGCTGGGTCTAGAACGTGGTTTCTCTTAATCTCTTAGCCCTGCTTGCCTTTAGTAATTGCTTCTTCGGAAACTTATGGGTGTGGGAGCAGAACTGGCCACTGGCATCCCCTCATTTTCGTCTTGCCTGCCTCGCAACTCAGGGGAAGGAGAGAGGCTCCCTCACTAGTTCCAACCAAAGAGACCGATTCTGGTTGGCTGGCTTGGGACCTGTGTTCACCGTAGGACTAGGTACCCTGGCCAGGACACTGAGACTGATGGGCCCCACCTGGTCATGTGCCCAGCCCCAGAGCCACGTGAACCCTGAGGACTCTGGATCACACCCAAAACAACCGATTTGTGACACCAGATTTGGATACTGGGTGGGCAAAACCAGCAAATGGCCATGGCACCTTTCTCAAGCCTGCGGGGCCTGAGTGTTTTGCTCAGTGAAGAGCCCGTGTGTAGGTTGGAGTAGGTGGAGATGGGGATCAGAGAATGCTGTTTTCTTATTAACTGTTTGTATGTGTCATGAACCCTTCTTGCTTCTGTAGAACAATGCTGTCAGTACAGGAGCATAGAGTGATGATAGCTTTTAACACCGAAGCTTAGAAAACATCAAAAGCTACTCTCAGCACATGATTATTTCAGTTTGAGATTCAAGGTTTGACCCATAGTCTCAGTTTGCAGCTTGAACTCAGGATTGGTGAAATACCTGTCCCAGCTCATGACCAGGGCAGCAACTGAGCTCTCCTTAGGATTAGGGTGGGTTTAAAGGGCATGGGCAAAGCTTAACTGAAGTGAACTCAGGTTGCAGGGTTTACAAGAGATGAAGCAGCGTTTAAAAAAAAAAAATGGTGGTGAAACAGACATAGTGACTTTCACCCCACTGGGGGCTAGAGCTGTTCGGGACTGAGTCACACCTGACCAGGTGGGGGATGAGAGTACTGCAGGCATAAAAAGGTCTCTCTGGTTTCAAAGAACTTTCTGGAATCGGCTCTGCTACCATCAAGCCATCACAAAAGGGACACCAACCATGAGCAAGAAATGGGGGATGTAAGGGCCAAAGCAATCAACAAAAATGAGATCACACGCCTCAGGCTGTCACTCTTCAGAACCAAGAGTTCTAGATCTTGCTGTGCCCTCAGTTGGCTACTGGGAACAAAGCAGGGCACTCGGCATTTAGGACTTCAGGGCCCACAGGACTCATAAAAGCCTACTGACTTCGGGATAAGCCCAGGGAACTAGCTGGCCTACTGGCTGCTAAGCTGCTGCAGACCTCAAAGGAAGTTGCTTCCAGCTACGAGGATCCAGAGCTGCCCGTGACCCTCCTGTCCCAGGTCTGGAGCATCCACCTGCTGTTCCGGTGTATGGCACGGGGCAGGACGAACATGCTGAAGGGTAGCAAGGCACAATGCTGAAGAAGAGGGGCATGGGCTGTCATGGACAAGGTCAGAGTGAAGGGCAAAGTCTGGAATTCTGGGCTGTGCTCCCTAAGGTTGAATGCTAAAGGGGGCAGGCTTTTAGTTCTTCTATTTGCGGGTCAGTTAAATTGTGCTGCATCCCACCCGTTCTAGAACATCATCTCTAATACCAGCTTGTCCCTGGTCAAGGACAGTCCTCACAGTGGGAAATGGAAGTAGGAACAGGTGACTTTGGGCACCCACAGCCCTACCTCTAGGACAAACAGTGACACACAGCTGACAAAGAAGGATCAAGTGGCTTACTGTATACGGAAGACATTTTAATACACCAAGGCACATTTACATCCTATCAACAGAAGCATGGGTCTCCCGCCCAGTGGCTGCCTGTTCACAATGGCGCAGATCACTGAAGTTTGGATTTTGAACATCAATGTTTAACGTCAGTCAGACACACTGAGCTTGTAAGAAAGAGCAATCATGGGCAGACAGTAGGAAACAGGATGTTGTGTGGACAGCGCAGGCATGACTGGCTACTGAAACAAACACAATGGGTTGCACGCCTTTTTGTTCAGCTGGTGAATGAAAGCCTTAGCATGACTACATCATCAAAAGCAGCAACACAGCTTCCTGAAGGCTCTATTAGCATTCTTTCTCCTGAGCTCTGTATTTGTCCATCCAATCTAGAGAAGCTATGATGATCTATAGCCTCGTTTCCGGTTAAAACTCCCATCACAAGAAGCTTCACTATGAATTAATGACCGTAATTCATTTAGCAGTGCTTTGTGCTGCCGGACATTCATTGCTGCCCTAGCAATGACCCCAGCCAAAACGAGTGCGGCCCTCGAGATGTGTTAGCCATTAGCGGGGTATTCACTTCCATGGAGTTCGGGGTGTGGGCAGGGTTACAGGGCTTGGGTGCCCACCCAGCCACTAGGGGCCACTGAATGCAAGGGGGTGGGTCTCTGCTGCAGTGTAAGAGTTATTATAACCTGGATGTTTCTGGTCTGGCTCCAAGTTTTCAGATGCTCCACACAGGTAAGGGAGGAAGCAGTTAGAAGAAGACTTTGGTAGGAATACCAAAGGGCTGCGATACTCAGCTTGTTTTCTAAAATTCTGAGCCCTGAGCCTTGGTTGTCACACATCTAATTGATGAGACAGGTTCCAACTGCTTAGGATAGTAACTTTGGGCCCAAGTTACGGAATAAAACCAAAGACTCTGATACCAACATCTAGCAATCATGGTACAGATTTAGGCCTCCTTCTGGTTTTTGGAAAACTTTTTGTCCTAATGTTTAAAATGTGTGGTGGTGGGAGATGCTTATAATCAGTTGTTCTGCACTCTAGATGCAATGCTTTTTCATTTCTAACTGGAAACACATGGTGGGTCTGTAACCTGATTAGGACTGAAAATCCATCTTACCGCTCTGAGGCTGTGCTCTCTAGTTGGTGTGTCCACGGTTCCTGAATGTCCACAGTGGTGCGTTGGGCACAGCAGGAACTCACTGGAAATAAAAACTAGGGGTTCATACTGCAGAGATGGTATGGGGTTCCTACCCTGTTATACGTTGTACAGATGTGAAATGGCACAGATGCCTGGCTCCCTTCCCCACGGAGAGCCTCCTGATCCCACTGCCCCTGTGGCAAGTGTTTCCCGAAGTCTTTTCTCTGTGATGATACACACAAGGTCACAGCAAGAGGAGACACCAGGTGACTGGAGAGATATGTCCACAGTGCATCAGGACTTGAGTCAAAACGCATGAAAGTTGCCAGTTGCTAAACACGCTAGTGATCCCTGACACTCCTGGGGTTACCAACCTGGAACAGAAGCGGGTCACCCTCCCCTTGCTCTTTTCATATATAATCAGAAACAGAGTCAGGGCCAGTGCCTAGTTTATAGCGTTTGGAGAAAAGCAAAATAGCACGGGCAAATAGTATGTGGGAAATGTAGAAACACAGAATCAAACAGAAGGAAAGAGCTGGTTTTAATTCTTAACAAAAATATGGTTGCTCTTAAAGTAGAGAGGCACTGTTCACAGCTCTGCCAGAAATTCTGAGCCTGTTAACTCAGGGAGGAGAAAATCCTGGAAGCCAAGTTAAAATCCAGCATTGGCTTCCCACCTGTGTTTAATCGCCCGAGTGCGGCTTCCCTCCTTGGATGTCTGGTGTGGCAGGTGTGGGATCTGTTACTTCGGCCTGTTTTCTCTGTCTGGTCTTCCCTGTTGCCTGCTCTCTGCCATCTTGGCAAGGCCCTTCCTGTCTGTGAGGACAAGGCTTAGGTGATCTGAGCGGCATCCCAAAGTTCTGTTATTCCGGTCTATAAAAGCGTATATAACCGGTTCCACATTTTGGTTCCTCTGATACTGGCCAAAAATGAGACCAAAAATAAAAGACAAAAATCGAAGCCTCAAATGGTGATTTGTTTCATTGCTCACTGCACTGGGCTTCGCCTAGAAAAGATACCAACCATGGTGTGGGTAATCTAAGGGAGTTCCCAAGTGTAAATTTTACTCTCTTCCAAATTCACCTCCCATTCTACTCAGACTATAACCCCTGTACAAGTAAGGGAGAGCTCGGCTACTACGAGGGGACATGGTCTCAATGTGACAATATTATTTTCCGATCCTCTCTGGACACGGGTCTCTGATAAGAGGACAATTCGCTCTCAAGGAACGTAGTTACTAGAAGAAGGTGAACGGTACGCTAATAACTGCTTCACAGCTGAAAAGCCCTGATGTGAAACATTTGCCCATTTCCATGGTGTAAATATTGCCGGTATTTACTGATCATCACCAGTTTCAGCTGCCCAGCTTCGCGTCACTGTCCAAGGGCCATGGGAACGACGTGCTCCCCAGGCTCTTGCTGGCCGACACGAGCTGACAGGGTGCGCTGACCAGAACGCCACTGGAAGCCCTCAGAAATCTGCATCACTTCCGATCCGCTCCCATTCATTGCTTCCTGATTGAATTCCTTCTCCCTCTTCAATCGGATGGGGGCATTCTGACCTCTTTCTGAAATTCTCTAGCTCTGAAGAGCCTCATGCAGTCATCCCCCACCCGTCAGTGTCCATCCATGCATTTGTCACAGTGTAGTTAGGATGAGTGGAGAAATAAATCTACATCTAAATAATCCTTTGAAAATAAAGAGAAGCTGTGTGGAATGACAGAATGGTAACAGTAGAAAGGGAGAACAGAGCTCCGCGTGTACAACCCTCTCATCGTGGATGAATGACCCGAAGCAGACACCAGGGGGAAGTGACTTGCTCAAGGACACACAATTAATTCATGGTGAAACAAGATCCCAGGAGACCCGGGACTGTCATGCTGCCTCCTCCAAGGCGTTCATACACATTTTCTGGGGTGTGTGAGGTGTGGAGAGCTGAGAACTACAGTCAGTAATTCCTGGCACGGGTGGGCAGGAAGTTCCTGGCCTGAGGTGGCAGGAAAGGTCCCAAGCAGAAGATGTGGAGGACTTCACTCCTTATTCTGGTCATTCTCCTCTTGTGGGTCTTTGGTTTGTTCCAAGGCTAGATTAGCCGGTCTTTTATTTAAGTCCCGTTTTACTCTTAAAAGAAAAAAAGAAAACAACAACAACCAGGGCTTATTGTTAAAAAGAAAAAGAAACGATTTAAACTTTGAAATGACAGAACTAAGTCCCACAATTAGAAAGTGGCATGAGCCAAGGAAACCATTTGAAACATGTCACTGATTTTAACTGCTTTAGTCCCATTACTCTGTCCTTCCCTGAAACAGAAACTTGATGCTAAGCTAATTTACCTTTTGCAATTTTTTGAAACCTCATACGGGGGCGGGGAGGGGGAAAGGCTTCCGAATTTTCCAATTTTTCTGTTATGGATAGGTATCATTTTTGATGTGAGAAAAAATTTAAAAATGTTTTAAAAAATCTGTTAAGGCTCTGTTCCTCCATCATCTGCTGGGCTGCTGTTGAACCAGGGCTTACTTACTTTTCTCTGTTGAAAATGATGAACTCCTTCCGGACAGATTCCAGATGCTCTTGAAGAAGGCACATCTTCTGGGGAAACAGGTGGGAGTGGAGGGGGAGAGAGATGCAGTTAGCGGACCAATGGGGATCCTCAAACAGCCAGTAACCTCCTGTCCACTGGCTCAAATCTCAGAAGCGCCAGTGTATCTTCCAAATGGACACTATCTGAGAATGTGTGGCAGGAGACCCCAAATAGAGTAATAGGGGAGCAAATAAGGAAGAAACTGCCAGAGGACAAAACATGTCAACTCTGCTCCCCACAGCAAGGAAGATGTGGGTTATGGTTTATGAGCTTGATGCCTTTCAGCCTCTCAGCCCATGAAGAAACAATGGCTTCGAGGTGCGTTGGGGATGCGGGTTCATTGAGCTGGTTACCTACTCACCAGTCATCTGGCCCTCCTGTGAAAGGTTGGGAGGTTCTACTTGGATTTGATGAACAGCCTGGAAACACTGGGTCCTGGGGGAATGTTCCCCTCAACAACTGTACTGGGGCCGAGTAACTATGCCTCAGGCACAGTGAGCAAAATATTTGTGACTTTCTCACAGACATGCAAAACATTTGCTTTGACTTTGTGCTATCCAGCTTTCAACATCTCTTGATGATTTCTCCAACATAATGAGAAAATTTAACCTCAAAATGGTGATAATCATCAGGCCCAGGACAGTGTCAGACCCAGATCAAATGTTTTACACGTCTGCAATAAAATACTTCCAAATGACTTCTGATGAAAAAAATATTCCCTGAGGAAAAAATATTTATTTATTCATTCATTTCTTTAAAATCTAGGAATCAGGAAATAGTCTTCAAGTACTAGAGAATTTTCTTTCCTGTGTGAATGTTTAGGTGATAGAAGAGGCAAATGAAAAGGAGAGGACATTTCAGAGGAGTGGGGAGGCGAGCAAGACAAAGGAGAAAAAGAAGACTCTGCTACACTTAATCTTGTTCTCAAAATGGGGTATTTGTAATGAGGGTTTCTAGTATCTAGTATCAGTCATGGGGGACATGAAACTGTGGGGTAAATACAATCTGATAGAGCTTCTTGGCAGCAGTTTGACCCCAAGATTTTTATTTAAAAAACACATTTATATAAATAAAAGTATATTATATAGCTTTTACATAGTGTTCCTAGAAACATCTTTATTAGAACTGTTATTTCCCCCCTAGTTTTACTGAGATATAATTGGTACACAGCCTTGTATAAGTTTAAAGTGTACAGCATTAGGACTTGATTCTCATATATTGTGAAATAATCACAACAAGTTCAGTTAACCTCTACCGTCCTATAGCTTAAAAAAGAAAAAAAAAAAGTTTTTTCTTTTGATGAGAACTCGTAGGATTTACTGTCTTAACACCTTTCTCTAGACCATAAAGCAATGTTAGCTGCAGCCATCCTGTTGCACTTTACATCCCTGGTGTTTATTTATCTTATAACTGAAAGTTTGTGCTTTTTGACCTCCTTCATCCAGTTACCGAAACCCCACCCCCCTGCCTCTGGTTACCCAAAATATGATCTCTTTTTCTATGGGTTAGTTGGTTGGTTTGATTCCACATATAATTGAGATCGTATAGTATTTGTCATTCTGTCTGACTTATTTCACTTAGGACACCCTCCAGGTCCATCCATGTTGTTGCAAATGGCCAGATTTCCTTCTTTTTAAAGGATGAATTAATATTCTCGTGTGTGTGTGTGTGTGTGTGTGTGTGTGTGCATACCACAACTTTATCCATCCACCCATTGATGTTTCCATGTCTTGACTATTGGAAATAATGCTGCAGTGAACACAGGAGTGCAGATAGCTCTTCAACACAGTATTTGTGTTTCCTTTTGATATATCCCCAGAAGTGGAATTGCTGGATCATAGGGTAGTTCTAGTTTTAAATTTTTGAGGAACCTCCAAACTGTTTTCCATAGTGGCTACACCAATTTACATTTCCACCAACAGTGTTTAAGCGTTCCCTTTTCTCCACATCCTGGACAAAACGTGGTATTTCTTGTCTTTTTGATGATGGCTATTCTACCAGGTGTGTGTGGTTTCGATTTGCATTTCCCTGATGTTTAGTAATGCTGAGCACCTTTTTGTGTACCTGTTCGCCTTCATGTATCTTCTTTGGAAAAAACATCTATTCACGTCCTTTACCCATTTTTCAATTGGATTATTTGGTGTTTTTTTTTGTTCTTGTTTGTTTTTGTTTTTTGCTTTTGAGTTGTATGAGTTTTATGCGTTTTTGTATAATAACACCTTAACAGATACATGATTTGCAAATATTTTTTCCCATTTCATTAGTTGTCTTTTTATTGATGCAGTCCTACTTGTTTATTTTGTTCCTGGTGCTTTAGGTATTATATCCAAAAAAATCACGACCAAGGCCCTTGTCAGGGAGCTTTGTTCCTACCTTTTCTTCTAGGAGTTTTATGGTTTCTGGTGTACATTTAAGTCTTTAATCCATTTTGAGTTAATTTTGGGGAATTAATTTTTGTAAGATATAGGAGTCTAGCTTCATTTTTTCACATGCGAACGTCCAATTTTCCCAGCACCATTTATTGAAGAGACTGTCTTTTCTCCATTGAGTATTCTTGGCTCCCATGTCAAATATTAGTTGATGGTATTTGTATGGGTTTATTTCTGGGCCCTTGATTCTATGTGCCTGTTTCTCTGCAAGTACCATACTGTTTTAATTACTATAGCTTTGTAGTATAGCTTGAAACAAGGACGTATTCCTGCTTTGTTCTTCTCTCTCAGGATTGGTTTGCCTATTTGGGGTCTTTGGTGATGCCATATAGATACTACGATTTTTTTCTACTTCTGTAAAAAGCCCCTTGGAATTTTGATAGGGATTGCACTGAATCTATAGATGGCTTTGCGTACTACAGACATTTTAACAATATTAATTTTTCCATCCATGAGTACGGGATTCCTTTTCATTTGTATGTGTTGTCTTTAATTTCTTTCGTCAATGTCTTATGGTTTTCAGTATATTTTTCACCTCCTTGGTTGAATTCATTTCTAAGTATTTTATTGTTTTTTGATGCTATTGTAAATGGGATTGATTTTTTTCAGGTAATTCATTGTCCGTATATAGAAATGCTACTATATGGTAATTTTGTATCCTGCAGTTTTACTGAATTCATTGATTAGATCTAACAGTTTCTTAGTGAAGTCTTTATGATTTTCTATATATAAAATCATGTCACCTTCAAATAGGCAATTTTACTTCTTCCTTTCCAATTTTGATGTCTTTTATATCTTTTTGTTGCTTGATTGCTCTGGCTAGGACTTCAGTGCTATGTTGAATGGGAGTGATGAGAGTGGGGACCCATGTCTTGTTCCTGATCTTAGAAGAAAAGCTTTCAATATTTCATCACTGAGTATGATGTTAGCTATGGGCTTTTATATATGGCCTTTATTAAATTGATGTATGTTCCTTCTATACCTCATTTGTTAGGAGTTTTTATCATGAACAGATGTTAAATTTTGTCAAATGCTTTTTCTGTGTCTCTTGAGATGATTTTTCTCTTTCAATTCTATCAATGTGATATATCACATTTATTGATTTGCATATGTTGAACTGTCTATGCATCCCAGGGCTATCTCCCACTTGACCATGGTAAATGTTCCTTTTAATTTACTGCTGAATTTGGTTTGCTAGGATTTTATTGAGAATTTTTGCATCTGTATTCATCGGGGATGTTGACCTGAAGTTTCCTTTTCTTTTCATGTCTTTTTCTGGCTTTGGTGTCAGGGTAATGCTAACCTCATAAAATGAGTTTGGGGATGTCTCTTCCTCTTCGAGTTTTTGGAAGAGTTTGAGAAGGATTAGTGTTTATTCTTTAAATGTTTGGTAAAATGTTCTGGGCTTTTCTTCGTTGGGAGATTTTTGATTACTGATTCAAATTCCTTACTAGTAATTGGTCTCTTCAGGTCTTTAATTTCTTCCTGATTCAGAATTGGTAGGTTGTGTGTTTCAATTAGCAATAATCGCGCCTCAGATAAACCTCATTGGCTATGATACTGCCACTGCGCAAAGCTGGTAGGTTGTATGTTACTAAGAATTTTTCTTAGTAAAAAAAAGCCCATTTTTTTCTAGGTTGTCTAGTTTGTTGTGTATTTAGTTGTTCATAGTGGTTTCTTATGCTCCCTAGCGTTTCTGTGCTGTCTCCTACAGAGAGGAGTTGTAATGTCTCCTCTTTCATTTGTATTTTATTGATTTGGGTCCTCTTTTTCCCTTGGTTAGTTGAACTATACTCAAAGGAAAAAAAAAACCCAACCTTTAGGTGTTTTTTTTTTTTAACGTTAAAGTATTACATAAAACATAAATACATAAACATACATATACATTTTAAAGTATTATATAAAACATATATAAACATATACATTTTTACATATACAATATTTTAGTATGTATATATGTTTTGTTAATATATATATTATACATACACATATATAAACAAAATATTGTATTAAAATATATTAAAATTACATATGTTTATATGTTTATATATGCTTATATAGAATATATATAAACAAAATATATTTATATAAACATATAAAGATTTATGTACATATATATGGACATATAAAATGTTACTTAAAACATAACATGAAAAAGATTTAAAATATTAACATTTAAAAATATTTTTAACCTTAAAAATCAAGATTAAAATCATCTAAAATGTAGAAATCCATGTGAATTTTTTTTTCTATCACCTAATTCTGTTTTACTTAAAGATATAAAATAGACACTGAGAGAAGAGTTTGTGATCTGGCACTGTAGACCACACAAGCTCCCCTCCGCACCCCCCCACCTCGGTCCTTGAAGCATTCACATTCAACATGTTCTCTTTTGTCTGCTTTAGGTGAAAAAGTTTAAGAAGTTCAGTGACATGGATAAGTTGGCAGCACTAGCCAGAAAGAGAAGATGAGGGAAAGGAGGGGGAGGCAAACCGAATGGAGGGATGAATGGGTCTTACATGACTGAGAAGGAAAAGGTTGGTTAGAACTCTTCGAACCCGCTTCTCAGGGATGAGCAGAGCAGACAGCTATTAAACTGGTGTGCATGGAGGTGTCATCAGAAATTTCTGAAGGATTTGGAGCAGGTGGAAATCTCAGGAGGTAGTAAAAGAGGACTTTAAGTTATTTTTTTTGGTTCTATACTTCAAAGTTGTTGATGACAGAGAAGGATGAAGGGAGAATATTCTGGAAGCAAAGAAGTAGAGGCATCTGACATAAATAGGAACAAAGTAGGAACATGGGAAAGGAAGAAGTTAGGAGTCAGGACGGAGAAGAGTAAAACACAGTAACTAATAATTTTGCCGGACACGTTACATGTACTAATTGACTCAGAACAAGTCTATGAAATGGGTACCGATATCAACTCCATTTTATAAATGAGAAAACAGGAGGAAAGGGAAAACTGTAGTGCTTTTACTTTATTTAATCCTGTCCTGGATTCTGCAGCAGTGGATCTCAACCTTAGCTGCATATACAGAATCACCTGAAGAACGTTTTCAAGTACTGATGCCCAGGCTACACTCCCAGATTCAAATGTAACTGATCTTGGGTGGGACCCAGACACCAGTATACTAAAAAAGTTTTCCCAAATGGGTTAAGTGTGATGCTAAGGTTGAGAAGCACTGATGCAGCAGGGACCTAGAGGAGAAGTCCAAGGGGTCATATGATAAGATTTCAGCATTATATATATCCACAGCTTAACAGAGTTAGTGGTTAATATGCCTTACTAACATTGTCTTACTTCCACCTCAGATCAGTTGTAAGAGGTAGGTCCTATTTTTTTAATATCTGAAGGAATCAATGCTTACAAAGGATACATGGGTTAATGTTTAAACCATTACATTTAAAAGAATCACATAGCTATTTGGTAAGTAGCCACTACACACACTGCCTCATCTAGTCACAAAAGAAAGAAGGGATGACAGCTCTTAACTGGGGAGAGGGGACACGCTCTCTCTCACAGATTTTAAAGTCTATCGAAGATCAATTTGCCACCATGCTAGTTGCATTAGCACTGACTGTTCAACACATAGAAGCCATCATTGCAGATAGTTGCACACCCCACATTCTGTCTTTTAACAAGATAATTCTACCCCTTTCTTATCCTTATTAAGTTTAGAGCATTTCAAGCCTGCCCCTTTCTGTTCCGTACTCACTAACGCAATTCCATGTCTTAGTCTAGAAGCACACAGACCCTCCTAACGGTGGGTGAAAGAAGTCTACGTGACTACAAGATGAAAAGAAGAGGATGTCCCCTCTCCCTTACAGCAACACAGTAACGGATCGTCATCATGGATGTCCCCTCTCCCTTACAGCAACACGCTAATGGATCGTCATCATGGATGTCCCCTCTCCCTTACAGCAACACGCTAACGGATCGTCATCATGGATGTCCCCTCTCCCTTACAGCAACACGGTAACGGATCGTCATCATGGATGTCCCCTCTCCCTTACAGCAACACGGTAACGGATCGTCATCATGGATGTCCCCTCTCCCTTACAGCAACA